AAACAGAGGGAAGCCATGTCATATAGGTGAGAAAGTGACTGAAGTCTAGATGAAAGGTCTGGATCGATTATATTACAGTGCCTTCATTGTCATTCGAGAGGACCAACTAAATAATAATTGGAAAATACCACGTCAAGAATATGTTGGCTGGTTGTTTTTTTGTGTCGCAGCATATCAGCCTATATAGGCTATTTAAGGCTGAAATCAAAATATTTTGTATGCAATGTTTTTTGGTGGGTAGGGTGAGATAATAATGGTTTTAGTGATACAAGTCTTACTGATTAACCCATAGCTTGGGGGGAGAAGAGGTGGCGTCATACTTTCCCCAAGATTATTTGCAAAATTGGAATTGGAACTTGGCTCTCCGATTAACAATTCTGAGCCATTACACTACCCACCTAACCAAGCTTACAGCACCTGGTATTCCCAGGCGGTCACCCATCCAGGTAGTGAGCAGGCTAGACGTTGCTTAACTTCACGTCATTGCATGGGAAGTAATGTTTCAATGTGGCGTAGCTGTGAGCCATAGAGGAATGTGTGATAGGTACCCTTACAATAGGATGACACCCTAACAGCGGGATGACACCCTTAAACATGATGACACCCTTACAGCAGGATGACAGCCTTACAGAGGCATCCTGGTCACTTTTGATGAACAGACAGTTCAGCGTTTCTAAGTGCATTAATTGACTATACGTTATGAAGTAAATGTGTGAGTCATTGTGGGTGACAAATTATTTATAACCCTCTACCCTGCCCTCTCTATCTCTCTCTCTCAGGCGAGATATGACAAATCCCTTACTGCTCTATCGCTACTACCATAGAAAGTGCTCAGACGAACCACATTCTTTGGTCCCACCAGTTCTAAGCTTCACGGCTAGAATCCGATGTCACTCACGTTATATCAAACCGCCTACATTCTGTCCGTATTACATTGATGAGGAGTAAGTTTTGCACGAACAGCTTCTTCCCGAAGCCACTGCTCTATGAAACCGATTCTCAAGAGGATGTTTTCCGGATCGCTACAATCTTAACCTGTTCAAGTGTATGGTTAATCATTACCTTCCCCTCCTATCCGTATAAATTCTTAATATAACACTCTACTTCGTGTGTTCTCCGGGCCTTGTACAGGGTGAACCTTACTGTGTAAAAAAAAAAAATGTAGAAAAAATACACCTTTTGCATCTCAGAACATGGTTGCTACCAGTTTCTTTGTTGACCGCCGGAAATTAAATTTTAAGAAATGTTAGTGATGATGTATGGAGTCAATACTGACAACTCTAGTAGATCTAAATTCAGGGTGAACGTTTTGCAAATTTACGGCACTTTTGATTATTAACAAAATGGCTGCTTGTCTGCTGACAATGTGCTACAGAAACCTTCGAGAAATTTGATCTTAATTTTTTTTTTTAAATGACCTAACTTCCATCTCCCGAAACTCTCTCTACTTAAAAAAAATTCATACTTCCTTAGGTTAGCAGGCGGGCAGACAGTTGATATGCTATAAAAAGTATGCGGATAATGCAAGCAGTTGCATCTGTGGAGAAATGAAATAAAATATATACATATAAAAATAGTGAACAATAAAAAAGAAAAAGAAATACATTTTCCCATAATGCTCATAATAAATGAACCAGAAATTTTATAACTCTACTTGACTTTGTCAACTGCCCGTTAGGCAGCACTGTTTAAGGCTATAAAATTTTTCCTGTGTCTCTTCTCCCACTTGCTCCAAGATGTAACAGAACGTAGAAAATGGATGTCCTGCTGGGCATGTTTGTTTCCTCGCTCCATTGACGACTTAACTCTCTTTCCACTTTTCAACGTATGACGTTCACACGTATTTTCCAAGACCTCCACCCATGAAGCAAATCAACCTTTTCTTTCGATGTTCCAAACTCAGCACAAGGTTGACTTGAGCTTGACCATGATAACCATACCCACCCTCCAATGATGAAATAAGAATAAACTTTTTGGTTGTTGCAACTCTGCGCAAGACTTACTTGAGCGTGGCCATTATCACGATGTTTATCCGAACCTCTAGACAAGAGAAAGAAAACGAACATACCCAAGAGATATTTAGAACAATGTTTCACTACAGTTTATATACATAAATAAAGAGGGGGAATGGTGGTCAGTAGTCGAAACTCAAGTTTGTGCATGCTTCTTCTTAATTGTTTACATATGAATATGCGCCCAGCTACATTATACATCCTAAACGCAACTTTCTAAATACCACACACCTTTCTTTTTTTACACTGCTCTCGCTCATGTGCATTTTTTCTTAGAGCTATTCAAAGTTGTGGGTCAGAAGCAAAAATGCGGCAAGATACGGTCAAAAAAATTGTTAATTTGATCAAAACGCGTAGCGTAAGCCCTCAAATCACTTCATATAGGTCACCTTTGAGAAAGAAAATCAAATTAAACCTGCCTGTCACACATCACATGCAGGTAAAATGATCCAGTAAGTACCTGACTCCTTATGCTATCCTTTACCTTTATAAGAGACAGATCAGACCGAAAGTCAGTCAGTCATGTGCATGCGTGATACACGCTTAAGCGATCATGTATCTTTCGATACATGACTGACGCGGCAGATTTTTCCCGCAGTAGGTTTCCATTTCTTTCTATGTGTTTTGTAAAGTAGTTTTCACAGTGGGGGCTTGTATTTCAGTAAGTCGGTCTTAAAAGGGCCCGACGTACAAAACGTTAGGAACTTGCAATAATAATTAATGACGCAGCAATCTAGTTGTGGTGATGATACTTTAATGTCCGACATCGACTGACTCACTCAACTCCACTGAGCCCAACTGGCGACCGCTACTACTACTACAACTTATTATGTGTGGGAGAGTCTATTACAATAGAATAGGTAATGTTCTGGTATAACACTATGGTAGACCAGTTGCCATCCAAGGCTATAGAACCCGGTCTGTCCTGTTATTTACACATAGCTGGGAGGGGGAGAAGAAGAGGATTCATACCTTTCCCAAGTGTGCAAGCACGTAAGTGAATGTAATGGATTCGACTGGAATTCGAACACGGCTCTCCGATTTCTCAATCCGTGCCGATATCCATTACTCCATCGTAATGGATTACTGTTGCCATATTTGGGCAGGAGTCCTTGCTGGAAAAATTAATTAATTTCAACACTCCAACCTCTTTCTCACAGGCGGGATGTGACGAGTTTATCGCTACTACCATGGAAAGTGCTCTGGCGAACTGCATCTGTGTTCCACCAGGTCTGACCTTCACGGCTATGACCCACCATGCTTGCTTACTTAGTGCTTCCACACTCATTCCTTCCTTATTCCATCGGTGGGAAAAAAAAAGTTCCACTCAAACAGCTCCTTCCCGCGACCACTACCCAATGAACAGACTTCCAAGAGGATGTTTCTCTGACCATAACCTGTTCAAGTCTAGAGTCAACCGTTATCTTCTCCTCCTATCCATATAGACTACCCTCTATCTGGAGAGGCCCCCGTGCCTTGTACAGGGTGAACCTTAATATTTAAAAAAAATTAAAATGTCCACACGGTTTCAATGACTTTCGAAGCAAAAAGAAGACAGAAAAAGCAACTATCCAGAACTGATCATGGGAAAAATAAATGTTCTTTACTTAAGGGCTTCAAGGATATGAAGCAATTAATATTTACAGTATTTACACTGTTTGGACTATTGTTTTCATCTCTGTTAACATATTCACAACGTTTCGGCTTGTTGTACACTCCGCTCTACTTCAGGTGATTGGAATTTAAAACTGAACACTTTATTTCATCGACCGAGGTAGATTGAATCTAGTTCCACGTGCCATGCCTCGTCCGGATTTTTCAGTTTCAGTTATTTTCCTTTAACTCAACTCTCCGAGTTATTTGTTCACCTCTGCTGTGGCCAGTTATCGAACTCACAACTCTTTAGGTGAAGTCACTGAATTACCAATGTTTTTTTTTTATCCACTGGACCGAAACATTGTGAATGTGACAACAACGATGAGGACAATAGTCCGAGCAATGTAAATGCTGGTATATGTGTATTAACAAGTAAGGGGTTGGATTTTGATAATATCTGACTGACGCCGATTATTGTGGAAAAAAGAAAAGGCGAATTTAAATCTTGACAACCTTTGAATTCATGCCCGCAAAAAAAAAACAAAAAAAAAAACAGAGAGTCAAAATGGACGGTTTTTGCCCTTGATACCGCTATTATTTTAACTGCCTTCACCCCTCGGCAATGTTTATTTTTTTAAAAATCGACGATTAGAATTGTAATCAATTCTAAACATATGAAAGGAAATTTATGCATTTTCTTTGTTCTTGAGAATTAACAACAAAAATAATATACACAATTTATCAAAACACGTTTCTTAAATTTTTCAGATTTCAATTTTTAATGTATTTCGAAACTTACACATTTTTTTGTTAGCGTTATTGAAAGTTGGGAAAATATTGCAAAAAATTGTGTTAATTTTAGTGATATTTTGTTGGCGGAACTCCAAATCCCCCTTTGAAAAAGCACGTCGCGTTAAACCTGTCTCCCTTATAACATTCATTTCAACAAGATTTCAATGACTTTCCGAGCAAAGAGGCAGAATATAGCATCTGCCCAGAACAGATCATCTACGAAGAGATATTAAAATATATGAGCATTTTGATCAAAGTCAAACGATCATAACTTGAAAAATATTTGGAATTAGGGCAAAGTTAGACCAGTTCCGAAATTGAGATACTGTCTATATTCAGACTAAATATAGAACATATCATTTGGGAAAAAAGTGTCAAAAATGCCAAATGTTTATTTATGAGCCCTCATTGGATAACTGAATTAGGAACTGTAATTAAACGCATACTAATTATATATTTTAAACATTGAAAAAATGAAAATACTATGACCTTTCTATAGCAGTCAGTGTGCTATATTTAATTGTTTTTATTTTTATTTATTTATTTATTTTTGCAGGTGCTAACGTTTATTATCTTCAAAAGACTACAGTGTCATAAATAATGGAGTTACATCCCAATATAAATTTCAAAACAAAGCTTTGTTCGAGTCTTATTTTAATTTGGGAGGTTTTTATTTTGCATATCGTAAGTATATGAATATACTTATATTTTTCATACGTCGAAACAGTGTTTTCTTACTTTATGCATTATGTCTCTTCAGGACGTGATCAATATAACGGCTCCCCATAATTTCTTCTCCTTTTCTGCTCCAAGCAACAATTGACGGTTTATTTATCTGTCTTTGTTCCAGCGCTACCAACGATTTGTACATAGCTTACTTGCTATTTCATTCTGCACCTCCCGTCTGCAATATGTCTTGTGAATGGCAAATCCTCCAAGACCACTCTACGTATTATGCGTTCCATAATGCACACACACACACACACATATATATATATATATATATATATATATATATATATATAGCCATCCACAGACAGACTGTTTTGCTGTATCACAGCTCAACATTGTGGCTAGACATCCGGTTGCCTCTAGCAATTATAAATCGAAACGCGACTGAACTGGCGTCAGTCAGGGATTCTACCCTTCAGCCGTTGGCGCACGGCAGGGATGAAGGTGAATTTAAGCGCATTTATTTTATTATAAACACACAGAGACTGAGAGAACTCGATTCGCTTTACCGAAGAGTTTGCATTATTAGCCGTAATAGTTACTGTTTACAAACTCACACTTCCTCCCCAGACAGCTCAACCGAAATAATAAAATATATATATATATATATATATATATATATATATATATATATATATATATATATATAGCGGGTGTAATATATATCGTATGTAATAGCAAAATTGTCCAAATCGTGTAACAGCATGGGATAATTGTCCGTCCCACAAAATGTTTAATATATAAAAAACACTAAACTAATTGCGTTTCTTTTTCCTAGATTTTCAGATAAGGCGTTTAACTATTTTTAAACCATTTATCATAAGAATCATTGAAAAACTCTTTTAGCTATTCAGCTCGAAAAAGAACAGATCAAATCGTTTTGTGTCATCCCCAATCTCTTTCCAACTGAATAAGATCATTCAGGCCTTCAGAAATGGTACCAACATTCATACTCTGCTTTTCATCTTCGAATTCCATTCAAGAACCATCATGAGAACGGTGAATAAGTTTAAAAAAAGAGGGAAACAGTAGAGAGGAAATCTGGATCAGGAGTTCACAACAGCAAAAGGGATCATCATTTCAACTTAGAGCTATATGCATTCTTATTTTTGAAAGTAGCGTCCAATACCGTTGTAAAAATTTCGGAGAATTCCAGTAAGATATCTTTAATCATTTCTAAGATACAGCGGTTCGAAGCTTAATCGAACAATTAGAAATGTTGTTGTTACATGATGGGGACAATTTTGCTGTTACACCGGTATATATATATATATATATATATATATATATATATATATATATAGATTAACTTCTACGTGGAAAATCAGGCAATTAGAGTTTAAAGAAAATTTATCAGGAGAAAATGTTAATACCTCAAATTGACTGAAGAGAGGAGGAATAGAAAACTTATTCTTATTCAATACGCTATTACAGAACAGCCAGTAGTCACAATAGCCAAAGTTGTTAGATGCAATACAGTGCTTCATTCTCTCAGCAAATAAAGACTTCACTCTATCGAGGGCACATTAATATCTATTACGTACAGCCACGAATAGTCGTCTTTAGTGATCGGAACTGTCATGATGGTATAGCGGGAAAAAGTGATTCCTGTTGTCTATAGTGGCAGAAGTGGCTGGCGTGAACCATAGAGAAGACTGAGATTTCTCCTGGTATTTCCGAAAAGAAACAAAAGCATCTATGTCGGCTTTGACTCAAGAAGAAACCTCACTGGCACAATTTTCAATAGGAAGGTTAAAATATTAATTCAAGGGGCCGTCTCGAAGAAAGTTACAAAGTCATTCAGATTGTTGGTAAGGGAAAGAGGTCTTATGAATAGGAGGTTCCTTTCTAATAGATAACTGGAACAAAATATCAATAAATACTACAGCATGATCAGAGTTGCCAAGAAGACAGTATTGCAAAGATCAACAAGAGCTACGACAGGAGATAAAGAACAAATCAAGTAAATAAGCATGCTGGTCACATTTATTAGGGAAACGAGTATGGAAATCCATGATTTCAATCAAGAACTGAACATAGGAAAAACTGAAAATCTGAATAACAATTCAAATGAGAAAAAAAATTAACTTTGTGCACTCAGTCGAAATCTATCACACAAATTTCTTCCAACAAAAAACACAAAATTACAATGAAAATGATATCAACAAACGAGAAAGTTATTAAAAAAGCAATAGAGACTATGTACTTTACTAATAAATATTTTTTGTATGTAAATTTTGGGTTTTAATTTTCAAACAAGCACAAAAATTTGTAATGATATAATAATTAAAATTCAGTTACACATTTACATACTGATATATATATATATATATATTTATTTTTTTTAGTTTTTAGGATCTCTTCCGAAAGCTTCGCCTGTTCCACAATGTGGCCAAATAGTTGGTTTGTATGTTTTACTTTGCTAAATCTAATTAAAATAAAAAAAAAGATTATTTGCTTTATATCGTTTGAATGGCCTAAATAGATTCATTAACAGCTGTTTGATGATTGTCAGTTATCAGTTATCTCCTGCAAATTTCCCCTCTGAAAATTCTCCACTGCCTTAACCGGGTATTGAACTCACACTCTTTGGGTCTGTCACTGGATCTAACCAACGCCTTTATCCACTGTGCCATGTGTCCTTGAGGACACATGGCACAGTGGAACTAGAACAGTCTACCACAGTGATCGAAATAAAGGGTTCAGTTCGAAATTCCAACCACCTGAAGAAGGCCGGAGCGTACAACGGCCGAAACGTCGTGATAAATATGGCGACAAAGATGAGGACAAGTAATATGTTGTTGTTATATTTACGATATCGTTTGTGATTACATTCCTACCTCTCTCGTCTCTCACATTGTCCACGAAATATCTCTACAATAATATGTCAAATCTGGAAATTCCCACAGAATCATCCTGAAGAAATCCAAAAGAAACAAGACAGCCCCAACTTTCGATGTATGAGGGTCAAGCAGATCAGTTTCCAGGAAACTGACAGCCCGACACCAGCACAAGAGATTATAGTGGTGAAGGTTTCGTGCAGGACCATCCACACTTTTTGAAGGGACGAATAAAGAGACCTGGCGCACTAAGTGCCACAAGGTCCCCAAACGACCCTCCGCAGGTTTTCAATACAGAGTGGTCCTTCTCCTAGACCAGTTGCCATCCAAGGCTATAGAACCCAGTCTATCCTGGTATTTTACCCATAACTGGAGGGAGAAGAAGAGGATTCATACCTTTCCCAATGGTATTAGCACGTAAGTGAATGTAATGGATTCGACTGGAATTCGAACTCGGCTCTGCGATTCCTCAATCCAAGCGGCTATCCATTACTCCACCTCACCCTTCTTTTCTCTCTCTCTCTCTCTCTCTCTCTCTCTCTATCTATATATATATATATATATATATATATATATATATATATATATATATATATATATATATAGGGTATATACGACAAATACTGGGATTTTTTAGCCGTGGATGGTAAGTATAGGGAAGGAGATTTAAATTCAAAATAATATGTGGCACTGACACTGTGATAGAGATACCTTAAGTATGATCTCTATTTGATTTCAACCAAAGAACAAAAAACAACTCATTGAACAAGAGTTGTGCCATATTCCATGTAATAGATTATGTAACTATTGCATTTTATTGCATTATTGTACTTTCATTTTTTATTTTTATATATATATATATATATATATATATATATATATATATTTAAAAAAAAACAAAACAAATATTTATGTTGGGTATACGACAAATACACTAATAAGAAGGCTTCCACTACACATTTCTGACCATTCGTCCATTGCGAGACATCTACAACAACATTCCTGTCCGCATTCACGATATAAAAAAATACTAATTCTACACCATGAAAACAACAAATTTACATTACAGGTACTAGAAACAATTCATATTTAAAAAAAATTAAAGCCGGAACTGAACAGAATCAATTATGAATGCTGCATTGATGTTATGAAATGCTTGTAAAGGAACAGCTTTTTCACGATTTAATGCGCACCTGACCATGGCATAATAACATGAAAAAAATACCATAATGGATAATTTTTTCATGTTCTAATGAACGCTCAGCACACTGTCAACCGTTTTGCGTTTAAAAACATAATGAAAAAATTACGGTAACGTATAACAACGTACAACTTTGTATAAGTACTTGTACTAATAAATAACATCTAGTTCTGTACTGCTTGCACCTCTGAAAATGATCTTGGGAGAAGATCGAAAGTACTTGGGAAATGAAAACAAAATAAATTTAAACAGCTATAGCACATTTTCGGCACTATGTTGTGCCTCTTCAAGCAATGGTAAGTGACTGTTGATTAAAAGATTTTTAAGAAAATTTCAAAAGCAAAGGTTTACCTCTTCTTCGAAAGATAAAGGGTGGGTCAGGAAACACAAGGTCAGATTTAAAGTAGATTCTGTTCTTTTTCACACACACACACACACACACATATATACATACATACAATATATATATATATATATATATATATATGAGGGTGTTTCAATAACTTGGACCGATTTTAAATGTGAATTAAGTTTAAGCGTCTAATGATTTCTTTCTTTTTCTTTCAGATTTGGCAGATATTTGGGTGATATTATTTTTCACACATAATTGCCATGACTTAATAACATAATCCAATAGAGAAATAAAGTGTTTAACTGTTTGTTGCACTGGTGTAGGTGTCTCTGCTAATAACTAGGTCTTGATTTATTTCGGTTTGAATCGGCGATTTCGTAAGGTAGTGGTCTGATCTTTGATCCGTCTTAATGAAACTGACCCTTATATATAATCTGTCTTAATGAAACACCCTTTATATATATCTCCGATTTATATATATATATATATATATAAACATGAAAACACGTATTCCTGTATTATGGCTCTTGCTATATATATATATATATATATATATATATATATATATGCACACACAACTGTTAATTGTGTTTAATCATGAAACTGACTGTCGGCAATGTTCACTTTTATATTTATATTCACTCTATCAATGATACTGAGTACTTTAATCCACAAATATACCATACCTTAAAACTATATTTTATCATATCGATGTAAAAATCTCGGACCAGCAGGTACAAATTATCAAACATTGTTGTAAGTCCGTACACTATTATAACAACAATGTTTGCTAAAAAGGGATCCTAAAAAAGGTGTGAATTTTAACATAGCAATGGGTTCGTTTGATGGTTGTAAGTGTGGGATTGTTTATTATGTATGAATAGAATATAATATATATATAGATGACGTTAGATATGACGGCCTTATATTTATGGAAAATAGTACTGGTATAAAAATATATTAATGTATAATGATAGCATTAGAAAAAAATTATTTTGATTATTTAAAGAATTGAGCTGTAAGATTAAAGCAGTTAAACCTGGTCGATACAGATTAAATTGAATCACAACAATGGAATAGTGAAACCATACACAAAAAATTCTGTTATATCAAAACAAACCACCCTAGGGTGATTATTGAGAAGATACAGGCATTGAATATAGATTGTCTCGTAACTCATCTTCTGAGTTTAATTTTGACAAGATAAAACACGTTTATCAATCACAGTTGCAGGCGGTTTGTTGTTAGCTGAGGCAAGGAATGGCTTGTTAATTTTAACACCTCCAAAAGAAAGCCTCTCTATTAATCAATTGAAAGACGCTTCCCTGCATCCCATCGGAATTACTGATGCTAACCTCCATGCGAGTAACTTGTGCCTTCACGGTGTGACGGTTACACACCTGGCCCAGTGTCGGATCCTTTTGGGTTATTCTGTCTGGCGCCAACGGTGACGTCGCTCCTCCTGGTCGTTCCTCCTGGGTCCAAGCGTATTTGCTCCAACCCTTTGGTCAGATGATCACCAGCCTCGCCTTTCCCGGCAATGACTCGCTTCCAATACCTGGTCACTAAAGCAACTATGTTTTACCGATCTCCGGTCTGTCTACCCACGCTGTGTTTAGATCTTAGACAGACGGGACCAGCAGGGATCTGTTATATTTATGGGGCCGATATTAAGTTGAGTCCGACGGGGGTGGCAAAACACAAATAAAATCCTTAAGGATAAAAACTCACGACACCAAACAAAATTGGCATTGATAAAAGGGTAACAACCTTTATATCTTAAAGTCCGTTACATAAAAAAACAAAATTGTTTCTCAATTCCCGACCCGCTCTGTGGACTATGGCACCAAGCTTCTATCACACAATAGGAAAATGTCGAATTACCTACTTTCTAGAATCATGTAACAAAAATTTGTCGGATTGTTGTGGTTCAGTTCGACACTGGGGCTAATTTCTATCGATCATTCGCAGTTGATTCTTCTCTCCGACTTGAGTTGTATTTCTTCTTCTTCTTCTGTTTAGACTGGTAGATTTCTTGTTTCAATACAGGCATGGAAGATTTCTTGCTTCGATTCAGTGGAAGATTTCTTGCTTCGATTCAGTGGAAGATTTCTTGCTTCGATTCAGTGGAAGATTTCTTGCTTCAACTTGGGCTGGAAGGATTTCTTGTTTCGAGGATTCTTCTGTCGTCCGAGGGTGAACTGCAACTCACGCCCAACCTAACTCCAACTTCAACTCAACTTCAGCTCCAACTGATTTCTGCCGACTGGGGTCCTGCTTATATTGACGCCGCAACAAGCCGGGGTGGGTCGGTAGGCGTCATCGGGGTTTCTCGATAATTTCAAAAGCCGTATTAATTTTGACTTTCCATTATCGTTATTGTTTTCACCCCTAGATTTTTCTCACAGTGCTCTTGGGGGCGGCGCATATCTATTTCTCTTAGTCTCTCTCATGTCAGGTGATCGCTCTCAACCAATCGTTCCCGATCGAACCTTTCTTTCTCTTCTTTTCCGCAGCCCACGTGACCGCCTCGTCCAACAGTTATTGATCGAGGTTTTCTTTCCTTCTTCTTCCGCGGTCACGTGATTGTATTCGACCAATTGTTATTGACCGAACACCCTCTCCCTTTTGTTGGCGGGTGTGGTTACATCGTGCTGGTTTTAAAAAAACAAAATCCGATTTCGCACCTTTTTGCACGTACGCAAAATGACAATCCTTGCCCTCTCTCACCTGGACTTTGTCAAACAGCCCGCTGCTAATTAGTCTTGACTTTTAGAAAGGATCTTTTCCGCCTTCCTGGCGCCCTCCGTGGTCCAAAAAACAATTGCTCTTCTTTTACCTCTTTGTTTTCCTGATAGCCGAGAATCTTAATTATCTAGGTCGAAATATCTCTACTTTCTTAACGTGGGTGTCCAATTCTTAACAGGTCAATTCCGTATATCGTTTTTCACCAGTCACTTCCCCAACCCAAAGACACTTTCTCTCTGACTAAAGTAAAATTCATTTCTAT